AATAACAGAGGCGAAATGCTCTCAAATATGCTATTCAATTTGCAGTTGTATTTTGGTTAAGACAAACAGAGCTAAGAAGTACTTAAATAACTCGAAATAAGCTATGGATTTGTTATATGTCTTAATAGATTTTATAAAATATGTTTTAAAAGCAAGATTATTTTTCACTTTTACCAGTTCACTTCATTTCGGAATTATTTGTATTTTGTGTGCAAGGGTTATATATTTTTGATGCATTTTATTTGCATTGGTACCTTATCGCAACTGAATGTTAACATGCACATTTAAAAACAGTGAAAACCAACTAAAACTGTCTGACAGTTGGTTCCGCTTTAATGGTTCATAGCCAAAATATTACGTAAACGAGAGAAACACATGCATCTCATAAACCCCATAAAAGCAGCACTCATGCATACAATTTATGTATATGTCAACTTCTTGTCCATTTAAATAACAAATTTTGCAAATAGCTTTGAACAATGGAAGCGTATGCAAAATAGACACGCCTCCCCGCAGCCGCCTCAAACAAACACATAAATGCCAAAAAAAAAAAAAAAAAAAAAATTTCCGCATTTATGCAAATAAAATTCTCACAAAATCCATAACAAATATGTAGGAAAAACGTACGTTTTTCATTGTGGTAATGCTAAACATGAACATAGCTTAAATTTAACAAAAAAAAATAAATAAAAAGCCGCCGATTTCAGCAACAAAGAAAATGTGAAGCGGCTCTCAGTGGGTTAGTCGAGAAAATGTGCCCAACATTCAGCTGCTGCTCTGCAGCTAAATTAGCTGGCCAGGCTAAAAGGGTCAGAGCCAGAGGAGCAACATCAACAGCGGCAGCTTAAAGCGAAGGTTGCACAACGTGCAAACTGCAGCAATTGAAATGAAATGTTAAAAGTAAATCTGTGTGGGTGTTGTGTGTGTGTGTGTGTCTCTGTGTGTATCTTGCATTGTTGTTGTTACTTTGACATGCATAATAGACAACGCAAAGCCAAAGCCAAAAGGCGCCAAGCACTCACCTAGTCTAAGTGTAGGATTTTCTGTAGTTTGCGCGAGAATATCTCTATGTAAGCTGGCAGTGTGCAGATTGCCCTAACTTTGAAAGGGTATATTCAGTGGGACAAGCAAATGGTGAAGATTAACTGAGAGTCACTTTTAACAAAGAACTTATGGGAAAAAAGATCTACTAAGATTCGAGTCTCTAATTCAAGCTTGCCAAAATTAACATATCGTATCGAAACAACTCAATTTTAACAGTCGCTTGTGCAGCAGACAAATCTAAATAATATTGCACTTTGAATTTTATAATCAGAGTATCGATAATCTATCTATAAGTCTATCTAACTGTGTTACTTTTCCCAATTGATACTTTATTACACTCTCCAGGCGAAATAGCTTCTTATTTACAGAAATAGCTTTTACTGCAACTAAAAATATTTTATTTAGATGTATTTCTCAATCAGACTAGTTAAGAAAATGTATTTGTTTATCTATATTTGATGCTGCTCAATTTTATTTTATATGCCATGTGGACCAACTCTTAGAGTATTTAGTCAGCGTTCTGGCCAAAGTAAACACTTCACACAGGTAAACAATCACTCGTCTCATACATATGCAAGTCACACTTCACCCCTGCCACCCACTCTCTCTCTCTCTCTCTCTCTTACAGTGTTTGCTCGCTTACGTGTCCGAGCTGCTCTCCTACAACCCTCTCTCTCCAACACAAGCAGTCTCTCATGTTGTGCAGCCACTTTAATAAATGAAAAACCATCCAGTTTTTGTTTACTTGCAAGTGTTTGTTGTTCGTGTGTGTTTATTGTTGCTGCTGTTTTGTTCTATTGTTGTTGTTGTCGTTGGCGTTGTTGTTGTTGATTCTGGTTATTTGGTGGCGCTTTTGTCACTCGGCTTTCACTTTCCCCAGCGGGAACCTCTCATTTTGTTTAGCAGCACACAGCACACAGCACACAGCACACAGTAGGCAAATAGAAATTTTACGTAATTATTATGGATGGTCGTCTGAGTCCCTCTACTATTATCTGTGTCATCGGCTCGTAATTTAAACTTCCTGTTGCTCTATTTATTCACTCTCCACCCACTCTGGCGCCTTTCTGTTGAAACTAATTGGCTGTTGTGTCCCAGCACATGCAAATCCCTCGTTTCTCACCGACTTCGATTAGCCAGCGGAGTGTTGTTTCTTTTAAGGCTAATTGCATTACGACACGCGCTTTAAAGTCAATGAACGGTTAGCTGGAAATACTCTGAAAAGGCTCAAACACGCAAATGTCAACAGCACAAACAACATTAACAAATTGCAAAAGAAACAATAAGCAGTAAACAGTAAACAGTAAAATGTCACGTGTGGTATGAATAGCGAACTCTCTTTAGCATTTTAATCATGTTCATAAAAACAAATGTTGAGCTTTGCATTTCAAAGTGCATAAAAATAACCAAGCTGACTGGTGAACTCACTCGGAAAATGTAGGTGGGCTTCAGATAAAATATTCTTATTTCAATTAGAGTTTTTATTCAAGGTCTAAATTGCTTTTGCAGGCAAAAAATAAAAACAATCCGTAAAAAGAGCACATAAAATGCAGACGAACAAACGCTGATATATATATATATATATATTATACATTTCGTTTTTGCCAGTGTAGTTTGGCAGTAGTTTGAGCTGGGAACGAGGCAACTGTCAAGGCGGCGCCTACGCCTTGCCACCAAAATACATTTGCATGTGTGAAACAAGGCACAGGCAAACAAGGTTTAACACTGTGCGGGGAAAAGAGGGCGTTGGGCGCTGGGCGCTTGCCAGTCTCGCTGGGGTCATAAAGTCAAAGGGCTAACGTAACTCGGGTAACAAATCAAAGTAAAACACGGCGAACAATATGTCAAATAAAACATTGAATTAGTTAAGAGCATGCGTTGTACTAAAATGCACAAACCAAATACAAACCGAACATGTGTCTGAAGGTATAATAAAGTTAAATGTCACATGTGAGTGTGTGTGCGAGTGTGCGAGTGTGTGTGTGTGTGTGTGCGTGTCACTCGTTTCGGTTGCTTGCCTTTCTCTCGTTGTTTCTCCTCACTCGACGACTGATGCGCCTCCTCTGCGCTTCATACTTCATTGCTCAAGACGTTCTTACAACATTTTGCCCAGCAGCAATTTGTCACGAGAATTTCGTTTTCTTGTTGTTTTTGAGGTGCCTGATTGTTGCTGTTGTTGCAGTCACTGTTGTAACATTTTTGTGTGTTGCCTTTGAGCCGTGGCAAAGCCAACAAATTAAACCTGTTTCCAGTCACACAAATTTGTGTAGCTCAGCTTTCTGAGTTCATTTTTTCTTACGATTCGTCTTCAATTCTCTCTCTCTCTCTCGCTTCTCTATTTCTCTCTCTTTCTCTTCTGTTTCTTTGCGTGTTTACATGACAGACAAAAGATTCGCATGACTAAATTCATGAATGTTGTGAGTGGATTCATACATTCAACAGGTGGTTTAGTGCCAAAGTTGAATGTCTCATTTGCAATTCGAATTTATGTGATTTATTTTTATAATTAATTGATGAATGAACAAATATGAAAAACACTTTGTTATACTTAAATTTAATCAGTTAACTATTACATTTTTGCATTATTAACTATATTCAGCTGAACAACAACTGACAAAATTGTTCAGACCCATTGAATGTAATTAATTGCAGTCAATCTGTATCAGAATAATAAATGTATCATTTAAGTTCAAGCATGCTGCTTGTAATTATTATTTACAGCTTACATTCAAACAATAACTCAACCAACAATTACTGATGACCAATTGAACTTTAAATTGAAACTGAATGACTTATAAGACTAATGTTAATAACTTATAAGACAAGTATTGACGACAGGGCTTGACTACGAGACACAGAATCAGTCTGTCTTTGTATATTATATATCAAGTGGAAGTCTAAATCTTGACAATTGTATCTTTATGTGTATCGCAAATCGATTTAAATCGATATTCGCGAAAAGAGTGCAGTTATCGATACAATGAAATAATAACTTATATGCCTTATCAGATATCGGTGTATTCATATAGACGGACAGATCGAAGAATATACTATATTAAATAATATGGGATGCTTTCTTCCTTTTAACATATAACAATAATAACATAAAAAATGGAATTACACTTAAACGAAATCAACGATTATCAACTGGGTAGCTGATGAATGTTAACGATAATTCAAGTAGCTATTTAAACTTCTGTCTGACTGTCTGTCTGGGTGTCTGTCTGAATAACAACGACTCCTGGGTATAAGTAGCAATGGCGCCTGGGGGGAAATGGGAGCACTTTGCACACGTGTGCAGTCATGTGAATAACATTCAGGTAGCAAAACTCCCTCAGGATATTTTTATACGTTCTATTTTTAATGCATTTTCAGTGTATGACCAACAACAACAGGCAGCTTCACTCACTCAACGGTTCGCTGTTGATTTTAGTTAATGAATTAAGTTTGTTTTTAAAACAGTTTTTTTGTATGTTTCTTTTTTTTTTTTTTTTTGTTGTTCTGTTCGCCACCGTTTGCTGTTTGTTTTTGTTGTTGTTTATGAAGTGCTTGCAAACATGCAATGTCTGGGAATAAGTATGAACAATATAATAATAGATGGAGAGAAAAATTTATGGCAGTTTATGGTATTAAAGAAGAACAAGTACAAGTTAAAAAAAAAATAAATTAAAGTTTTAACAATGAGTGAGATTAGTAGTAATAAATAGGTAAGTTTTGCGGTATATAATTTGTAAGGAAAAAGTTAAAACACACATAAATTTTTAGCTGTGTAGATGAGCTAAGGTTGGTAATGGCACTAATTAGCGGCGATGGTGGACTAATGCAACAAATATGACAGCTTTAAGATGGCAAGTGCACGTTGCACAGGATAGAGTTGAAGGGCAAGGCAAGGTTGGGCGGTTTTTGATTCAGTTTTTTTTTGATTTTGTGTGTGTGGCTTTTAGTCAGACACTCACCTATCCCTCAGGCAAATTTTATACTCATGCTGTGAGTCGTGGTCACTGTTGTTGCAGCTATCATTATAATTATTAGCGGCGGCAACATGACGTTCTCTTTCCTGTTGCTGTTGCAAGTTGATTAGCTGCTTGTGAAATAGTTCCTGTTGCGATTGCAACAGCTCCTGATGATGATCCTGGAGTGCGGCCAAATGTGATAACTGCTGCTGATATGGCGATTGGCTTTGATGATTATGCTGCTGTTGCTGACCGTGTTGTGCAACCACAGGTGACACTGGCCGCAATGGACGCTGATAGGGATGATGATAATGCTGCTGCTGTTGTCGGGCATGATTCGATTTGCCCGCCTGTTGATTATGTTGCTGCTGCTGCTGCTGCTGTTGCTGTTGCACATTGTTGCTGCTGCGTCTGTGGGTGAGCAGTGTTAGGCAGCTTTTCGTGTCCACATCGGCGAGTCCAAATTCCAACTCGGCTTGCGATTGCTGCTCATAGGCGTGTTGCGCCTGTTGCAGCCGCTCGCGTTCGCTGCGCGGCGAGTTCGCCAACTGTTCGGCGGGTGGTTCGATTTCGACAGCGGAGTAATCATAGTCCATGGTACGCGTGCCCGGATGAAGATGATGAGGATGATGCTGATGCGCCGGATGATGTGCACTATTATTGTTCATTGTTGGCTTATTGCCATTGCCGCTGGCCGAAATGGCGCCAGTTGCCGGCGTCGCTTTGGCTATTTTGCCAGCCAGCGCATCCAGAGAACTGAGCATGGTCTCTCACTATCTCTCTGTCACTCTCTCTCTTTCTCTCTCTCTGTAGTTGGTCTCTGTCTTTTCACTTTCTCTCTGCGATGGTGTCACTGATTTTTAGTTTGAGCAGCATGCAGTGGTTTTAAGTTCTTTCTGTTGTACCGATTAATTTGTTTTGTTATTTTGATTAGTTATTTTCTAATTGGATATTTGTTTTTGAGAGTTTTTGTTGTTGTTCACTTTTGTTTTCTGTCTCCCTCTCTTGCTTAGCTAGAATTAGACTAGTTAATTGCCTGAGGGAAAAGTTGGGAGGCAAATTGCAAATTCGATTAGTACAGAAAGAAACGTCAAATAAATGCAATTATTAGTTTAGATGTGATTGTGTGACGGCGACCTTGACAGTTATTAGACAAACACACACACACAGTCAGACTCACACACACACACGCACAAATAGAAGGAAATAGACAGCCACAGTGCTGGGCATACAATTAATCCAATTTTACGCCAAAGTAGAAACTTATTATTTGAAAAGAATTGGCTACCAACTATTAAGTAAAAGGTTTTATTTATTCAATTACAAATCTGATATTCTGCACCACATTTAGAAAAAGGTAATACAAAAATTTAATATAAACAAGTTGAAGCAAAAATGTACCGCGAATGTTTGCTCATCGCTTTTCCAGGAACCTTTCTCTCTCGTGGCAGAGACAGATATACAAATCCTCTCCTCTCTGTTTATCACATGTGCACTGACATTTGCGTTCTTCATTGTGCTTTAACTATGTGTGTGTGTGTGTGTGAGTGTGTGTGTGTGTGTGTGTGTGTGTGTGTGTGTGTGTGTTTCTGTTTGTTTGCTTTGCATTGCATTTGTGTTTATTTTGTAGCTTAGGTCAGCTACATTTCACTTAAGCTGCTGCTAGAGAAACTCTTCTACAAAATGCCAACGCACAAACACAAAACGTATCAACACACGCACACACACAAACACACACAGCCACACACACACAACCACACACACACAGCCACACACACACACACTTGCAGTAGAGTGTATGGTTGTAAAATGCAAACACTTGAGCCATACAAGGCAGGGCACTGAATGCCAACAACAACAACAACAATAACAACCATAGCAACACAGCCGATGTCGAAGGGCAGTTGTACTCGATGGAGAAAGGGGGGAGAGAGAGGCGTACGGATACAGGTTCTGTATGCGTATCTGTGTCCCTCATGGGGCACTGAGCCAGCGCTCTGTTCGCATTAATGGTCCACAATTTGTGGGGTTGTTTGAAGGTTGCCATCTGGTTGGTTTTTGGGGGCTCAGAGCTGCAGCAATTGACAAACACTGAGACACTCAGAGGCATCAAAAAGAGTTTCGGATTGTTGGGAGTGCAAAGTGTAGCTCAGCCAAGATAAGTTCAAAAAAAGTTAGTGTCCCATTTAGGCGTACAAAGTAGTACAAAGAGTGAAACTAATCAGTTTCTAGCAGCTTTGCAGCAGGTCGAAATTGTTTTTCAATAATAATAATAATATATAAGCATTTTCTTAAGGACCCTTTATAATAAAACAATAAAAAACACGAAAGACAATTATAAAAGTTTAAAAAAAATACAACTATAAAAGTATAATGAATATAATAAAATAAAAAAAATGTGAGTTAGATAAAAAGTTGTAGACTTCATTTAAATATAAAAATAAATGATTTATTTGAATAAAAAATGTACTTAATTGAAAAACAACAGACTCAAAATGCTTTTAACTTCATTTATTGCGAAGTAAAGTTTGAATTTGAGTTAACTCGTGGTTTTTCTTATTTTTTATTTTGCTAATTAAGCGCAGCTGCCTGGCCATTAACAACACAAAATCAGTTTGTTACAATTTTTCAGTGGTTTCCTGAAGATGACTTCCTGCCTGCTGCTCAAGCTGAAGCCGAAGCAAACAACATCCTGCAAGAAGAAACAGCAAACGTCAGCCGGCAACTATTTTGTACACACACACACACACAGACACAGAGACACACACACACACAGAAACGCATTCTCATCTACACGACACGATATAATGCCATGTAATAAGAAAGCAACATTTTCAAAAGCCAAATGCATACAATACAAGTCCATACACACATATATATCAGTGAATACATGCATATATAGCCATGATATACAGATATATATATACATATATACTCTTGTACAGCAGAGTGATGCTGTATGTAGTGGAGCATGTATAAGAAAAGTGCGCGGCGCGTGTAAATTGCAAAGAGTAAAATCTTGTAAAGGCAAATTCCTTTCAAATGCAACCATTTCCTTTGCACACAACTACTTAAAGTTGCAACAGTGTGTAGAAATCAGATACACACACACACACACACACACACACAAAAGCACACAAACACACACAGGTCCTTAGAACAGAGTAAAATGCGAAATGCTGGCAGTAGTGAATGCTGGGTGGCTAAATTTACACAGCGCATTCAAGTTGACTTTTATATGTCATACAACAAACAAGTTGGAACAGTTGGCCATAACCGACTAGCCAATACGCTGTTCAGTTATAAACATAAACAGGCTCAGTGACTTGGCAATTCTCAGTTTGAATTAATGCTAAACCCAAATATAACCTGTCACTTTGTAAACAGAGTATAAGGACAGATAGATGTGTGTGTGTCTGCATTTGTGTGCCACTGTGTGTGCTAGTCGAGTAGCATTCAAAGCATGCAGAAACGTATGTATGACCAAACACTAGTCCGAGTCGAGCATTGAAAGAAAGCAAAAAACGCCCAGCGAACCTATTTCTGACAGCCATGAAGAAGCAGAGCACAGCAAGCAACAGCAACAGAAACAGCAACTGCAACGCAGTGTGCAAAAGATACTAAACAAACATTCTAGTTTAGATACTTGCAACAATTTGTGCAAGGGCTAGTGAACTGCCAGACAGTGTGGCAGGTGTGTGTGTGTGTGTGTTGGGTGTGTGTGTGTGTATCTTTTTGTATGACTTGACCAAAAAGCTTGTAAGATGCTTAGCCATGAGATGGAGCCTGTTTGCGGTCAAGTTGCAAACTACTTGAATAGTATCATGTCTAACCACAAAAGTATCTCACAAGCAGATTCATTGTAGACCATTGAAAAGGACTTAACGATAAGCAGCACTAAAGATAACAGGCGATGATTGATTGATAGATAGATAACCACAAAGTATGCAATGCAAACTTGAGCAAATGAGTTCTTAATCAATAAGTCAAGTACTATTTGTTTATCAAAGCTGATAGTTCCAAGGATTTGCTGCTGTCTTCTTTTGCCTTTGGGTTGAGATTTAGCTTCTACTCACATTTATAAGATATTTTAATGGCTTGCTCAATATTAGATCTACTCGCAAACAATTTAATTCAATAAGATTTTTTCAATTGATTTATTATACTTTTCACGAACATTGAATACACTTCCATTTAAAACATTTTGCAAACCCTTTAAGCCTTTTTGTTGCACATGCATAATTTTCAAATTTGTCTTTAATTTTGCGTATCTGTTTTTGTTTTAATCTATTGTCGAAATGATGCCAAGACTACAACTTAATTAGGCAAAGCCACAGCGAAAATAGTAGCAACTAATTACTTTAAAGAAAAAAGGAACCACAACCCACAGCCTTGGGGGCAAGTCCTTGTCTTCATATAACGAACGGCCACAGACGACGCCATCTTTTATTATTTTCTGTACTTTTTTTCATTAGTCAGCAAAGCTGTCGCATAATAGCATTTGAAAAGGCTTTAAAATCTAGCTGCATGGGAGCAATGTTATCAAACCAAGGCGAATGAAAGAGAAATAATGAAAAAATTGTGAAAAAGCGCGCGAGAATGGAAAAATTGCAACATCAAAGAAAAAGCGCCATAACCCAAAAACATAAATCCTTTGGAAAATAAATAAAGCAAATGGCAAGAGAGAAATGAATATGCTGCAACTTGCCAGACTATCTATGTATGCGACTCACACACAGAAACACACACACAAACACACACACACACACACCCTAACAATATATGTACGTATGCAAGTGAGAAGGAAATCTAAGTGGAAAAAGTTGATAAGCGTCAGCGACGAACCATTTTCTAACACCCATACAAAGTTAGAGGAGGGAAGATCAGAACTACTACGGGAACGTTGACTATTAAATGTGTTTGGGTGGTTAGTGGCAATAGGAAACTGTGGAGCCACAAAAAAATAATGAGATTTTCCTGCACGAGAATGACGGAGCATAAAGAACATAAAGAACTCTGCAAAATGAATATAAAAAAAATAACACAAAAAATAACCAACTTTAAAGTTTTCGGAGTGACAAGTGCAAACACGCTCGAAGAAGAGGTGAAAAGCTTAATAAACTAAACAGAAAACGAACTTAAATAAACTTCAGACATCCACAGATGTATTGAATTATAGTTTTTAACAACTTTTTCAACTGTGACCCAAGGACAATAGACAACATTAATATAATGATCTGTGGAATGGTGCACTGAAGTGACTCATTAAAATACACAACTTGTGCAAATTAATTGAAAATCTTAATTTAAACAAATATATCCTAGTTTTCTAAGAGATCAAATATCAAATAAAGCATATTTTGATTTAAGCAAACACGTTGTGCATATATATTTATATAGATAGATTTAGCAAGAAACTAACTCTTTCTGCCTAAGAATGTCATGTTTGTTATGAGCTTCAATTTCTAGAATATTTGTCAATTTATTGCCCGACTCGGATTAAAACAAACGAAGCGTTTATTTGCAATACTGGCCGCCCTGAAAGCAAGTAGCACACATAAATTTATAGCTGACAATTTAATTAATAATGCAGGCCTCTGTGCAACATGATAATTAATTCAGGGGGCAAAATCGAACAGATTGGCAAGGACGTCAAGAATGCTTAGCTTGGAAAAGGACGAAAATGGACAAACTTGCTGCTGCTGCTAATTATTGAGCCCCAAGGACTGGGCGCCCTGAAGACATTTTGTGTAAAATGTTTATGCATTTATTGAAATGTCTGCAATTATTGTTATGCATTGTTAAAATATTATTGTGTAATCAGGAGAAACATGAAAACGCACTTTATACTGCACAGAGGAGTGTGTCATTGATTTGCCTTTGAGCCAAAATGAATAAAATATGATGCGTGTAA